TGACCATGCGTGTTGGGTTGAACAAGAATATAAAAGAGATGATCTTTTACTGAAAATAAAATCGAATATTTTTTGTCAAGTTTCTAATAGGTCTGAGAGTTCTTTTGTTGAAGCTATCGTACACTTAATCAAGGCTTCTTTACACCAGTTACTATTTGAATATGACATTAACGTGGTTAGAGGTGAAAAACAGAGCATTGCTAGCAAGAATCAGAAGGTGTTAGAGGAAAGTGGATCAAGAGGAGAGCATCTTTGAAACAGAAGCAGTATGAGGTTGCTTATATGGAAAGTGGAAAATGAGTTCTCAATAATCAAAAAATTTGTGATCATAACAAGCTTGCAAAACTTTGCTTGTAAAAAAAAGGTTTATATCGTGTTTGGGATTAATATTATAGGTAATAATACATTTTTTCATAATTTCTTATTAAATTAAAATACCATCAATATTAATATCATTTTTTTTATTAAATATAGGCAATAGATTTATACTCTATGGGTTAGTACAAGAAAAGAGTATAAAGTATTATTTGCCTATTTTCAAAGCAAAAATCCACTTCTGCGATGAGTCACTTGAAGAGATAAAAGGATTTGTACATGTTTTGTTGACTTTGCGGGTAAGAAATTATTAAATATGGAGTTAGTCATTATTATTTATTCTCTAAAAAAAATTCTAAATTATATTAGAATAGAATTATCATAAATCAATAAAAGCTTTTTATACTTTATTTATTGTACAACGCAGACTATACGTAGAACCCAGATATGATACAAAGTCCAAATTAGTATTCAATATTATATATATAGAGGTGCATTAACATAAAGATGTATATAGATTACACTCAGTAAAATATTCAGTATTTTGGATTTCATTGTGAAAGTTTTATAGAGTATTTTGAAAAAGATAGATTATGGTTCACATTGTGATATTTTATTTTTTTCGTGACAATAAAGCCATCCCTGGTAGCTTAATTTCGTACAAATAATCAGTTTACTTTTGTGTATATATTTTGTGGATTTATTTTATTATATCGTTATTAATGTATATTAATCTGTATATGAATATTTTTTTTGGTAAAAGTGATTGACGGGTTCCTGACCATTGATCAGGATGTTGTTAAATTAAAAGCATTAACTAATAAAAATATTTTTCAAAACGTGTACAATATTCTTTTTTTAAACATTTCTAATAAAGTTATATAAATCAGTGTTAAATATGCAGATACAAAAGGATGAATCTAAAGAATTATCTGAAGTTGATTTATTGATGACCAGAATTGCGAAATTAGAACATATTATAGAAGAAAATGCTAAACGTGAAGCTGTATATAAGACTAGAATTAAGAAACTAGACAAAAAATATTCGATTTTATTTTCAGTAAAAGATCATCTCTTTTATATTCTTGTTCAACCCAACACGCATGGTCA